GGGCGTTACTCCTGGCATGTGGCTCCAGTTCTTCTGGCTCAGCCCTCTCCTTCTTCCATGCAGACACTTAACTCGCTGTCCTCTCCAGGACTAAGTGATACCCACCCTCAGCTGCCCCCCGCCTGTTGACTTCCCCTTGATGTCTTTACGTCTGCACTCTGAAGGCTGCTCAGGGTGCGATGCTCCGTTCTTCATTTTCCGTATTTGGAATGGTCTTTACGTGAGTTTTTATCCGAACATCCCACAGCCAGGACCCACATCTTTCACACCTTTGTATCTCATGTCCCCAAATCCAAGATGATCTTGTTTTGCCTGCTTCCTACTTTCTGACCTTTCTGTCTCTTCCACTATTCATTCTCTGTGTGACCCCACAGTGTTGCAGGACCCCCTGGGTCCCCTCTCTGGGATCACCGCTGCAGTTGGTCTCTTGGCTTCAGCTGTCTGTGTGCTGTCGGGTCCTGAGCACAAGCCAGACCCCTCCCTCGCTCTCGGCTGTCCCGGCATCAAGGTCTTCTTGACTTGCGGCACCTCATGCCAGTCTCTCGATTTAGATCTGCCTCCCTCGTCCCTCCCTCTTCTCTGTGTGTGGTCCCTCCTGTGTTTCTGTCAGCGGCCAGTGCCCACGCCCAGGCCCCTGCACAGGCCAGAGGCCCGCCGTAGTCCTCGGGTTTTCTGTCCTTCTGTCTCACACGAGTGCCCTCTCTCTCTGCAGCTGTCTAAAGTCCCGTCTTCTGCTGCAGTGGACGCCTGCCCTGTCACCTCTGCATGTCCTCAGGACTGCTTCGTTGTCTCGCAAGGCATTTTGATCCTGCTCTCTGCCGGTGGTCTCCGGCTATGCACCGTGTGTGAACTGGGGGCCTTCATAGTTCACTTGCTAGCTAACGTTTGGCGGTCCCTAGAGCCTCTGTGACAACCGCCACAGACCAGAACGAACTCCACAGCGGGGTGTTAGTCTCTGGTCGATCCTTAGACCTCAGGAGAAGATGAGAGGGGACCCTGTCACACCCGCTCCTCAGAGGGTAGACAAAGGTCTCCACTCTCTGCCTTCACTCCCGCCTACGGCCTGTTCCTGCCCTTAGCCTTTGGTTACGGTCCTACTCTGTCCTCTGTCCTCGTTAGAGCTAACTGTTGTCTCTATCACTGTGACCGTATTTCTGAGCTGTTTCACCCCAAGGGCTCTTGGTTTGTTTGTTTGTTTGTTGTATGTTTGTGCACCACCAGCAGGCCTGGCTTCCAGAAGAGTGTCGGACCCCTGGAACTGCAGTTGCAGACAGTTGTGAACCACCATGTGGGTGCTGAGAATCAGACCTGGGTCCTCCTAACCACTGAGCCATCTTTCCGGCCCTGGTTCTTGGATTGTCAAGGAATTCTGTTCACCATCTGTCAACCATCCGACCCCAACTCCTTTCTCCTTCTTTGCCCATGGGCTTGTTGTTTATGTTGGTGGTGTTTGTGTGGTTACGTTGTTGACATTGGTGGTGTTTGTGTTGTTACATTATTTATGCTGGGTAGGTGGGAACTCACCAGACATCTGGAAAGCTTCCAGGCAGAGGAAAACAGATGCTCAGAGGACACAGAGGAGGAGAACTGTGGCCTTAGTTACAGTCGTATTTCTCTTTTTGTTTGCTCTTTCTTTTTCCTTAGCTGCTTCACAGCGTAGTAAGCAGTAGGGCGTGCCCTTCTTGTGAAGGTTCCGACCTCTTTAGAGCCTTTTCTGTTTTCTGTGCTAAGTACCTACACTGCGCCTTTGCTGTGTTTTGATGGCTAATTGTTGGGCCATGTGACCTCCCGGAGCTGCTGCTGCTTGAACCTGGGGGTGGGGCATCGTGCTCCCTGCCACTGCCCGGCAGAGAGCAGATGCTAGAAATGTTCGGAGTCTACATCCCACCCACATTTAATCCCGGAAGACAAGTGGCACATCCCGTGGGGAGCAATGTTTAGCTGCTTGCGTGGATCTTTGCCTTAGATGAAGAAAGAGTTAGACCACAGTCCAGGTCACCTCAGGCTCCTCCCACACAGAGGTCATGTGACCCCAACCCCTTCCAGGAACAACACAAATTTGAAAGTAAACAGGCTGAGAGTTGCAGGTAGAGGGGCCACTTGGTTCTCCGGGAGGGTCTCACTGTCTCGGGGAGAGCACAGCGCCAACCAAGTGGGACATTGTACCAAGGGGTGCAGTCCGAGCTTTGAGTGACGCGCACCCCAGACCTAGTGCGGAGCAGGCAGCGCTGGCCACAGAGCTTCCCCTCATGCAGACACCTCGGCGATTCTCCATATTCTTACTCTAGCAAAAAGATTGTAAACACTATAATTTAACTAACACTTTTTAGATTCATATTTCAGTTGAATCGATTTGACTGCCATGTTGAAGACACGCAGAATGGTCCCTTTGTTTTTGATGGGCGTGGGAAAGTGTAAGTCTAGGGAAAACCAACAAACAAGACATTTCTATGCATTCCTGCACAGGCAGCCAGGGTACAAGGACATTTAGGAAACTGCAAACGCTCTCCGTGTAACACCCGTAAACATTCATTTTTCTGTTTACAGTGAACGTGCTCTACTGCCCGTTGGGCTACATGCCACACTCCTTGGGTGTGTTTGACAGATTGTACACTTGTTACATTAGGGGAACAGTCCAAGGTAAATGCTGGTATTCAAATAACCCCCAAAATGAGCATGACCCATAAAAGTATTTTACAAGCCCAAGTTAGAAATAGTTCCACTGCCCGTGGTTCCCAGAGAAAGAGCTTGGCTGTCCCAGTGTTGGGAACAGCATGGCTGCCAGGTTCACTTTCGTAGTAGACAGGGTCTAGAATAGACAAAGATGGAATAACTGACTGTCAACTAAATCAGCCGCAGTGTGGTTCAGCAATGCCCAACCTGCAAGGTGTGCCTTTGTGTGTCGGCTCTTTGCAAATCAGGCTGACATTGCAGGACCTGGTCCTGTGCAAATCCCAAAGTACGGCCTCATGGAGGGTGCTGCAGAGTTTGGATCCATTTGGGTTTCCTTCTCTGTTTCTATTACATCAGGGATTCCAGGAAGGGCTCATGGGAGCTTGGGGATGCTTGTGAACAGATGATTGCCCTATTCCTCCTTAACTTCTACTAGAGTTGACGTTGAAAATTACATGTAGGACACACCAGCAAGGCAAGAAGTTCTGTCTGGATTAATGTGGTTCCCTCACGTCCACTTCAGAGCTGTAGTAGCTCAGAGACTATCCACTGGACCCTGTTTCAGGGTTAATAACAGCGAAGCACATGTAAATTGACTTTTCCATGTTTTGATCATTGCATCAGCCCACCCATTTCCTTTGTGAACCTGCATGTGTTGTTTCATGCATTTAAAACAAATGGAGCAACCAAGCAAAAACCAAGGCGTCTTGACAAAACCGCGAGAGCTGTGGAGCCACAACAGCTGGAGGGGTGATGGGTGCCTTGGGGCCGGGTCTTAGAGAGGGAAAGAGGACAGCGGTGCGAAAACTAGTGAGGTCCGAACCAAAGCCTGGGGACTGTACTTCGTAGTCATTGCCAGTTGACGTGTGTGCTGTGGACATGTCAGCAACCCCCTGGGGAAGCTGGCAGGGTCTCAGGAATGCCGAGAGTGCCTTCACAGCACCAGTGTCCTATGGCAGTCACAGGCCTGGCACAGGTTCTGTGCACAGGATATGTTCAAGAGGGTGCGTGCCCAGTTAGAATGACCAGTGTGGGGCTGGAACAACTGAACGGAATGCTGTGTAGAGCTGTAGCTTGGGGGTCACGTTCTAACTGGGTCACTCGCGAGCTTTGGGACCTGGGGCCAGAAACCACTCCAGGCTTCCCCTCCCCTCTCCTCACAGGCCTGTGGGGCATCGGAGGGACCAACAGGAGGAAGCCCTGTTGTTAGTTTTTCCGGGGATCTCCAGTGCATATGGCAGGCCAGGCGTCAGTCTTGTTTAGCATCTTCTCTGGAGTGATCCAGCTTCATCTTCATGACACCTGTATCACGTGACCACTTCAGAGAGGGGAACTGAGGGTCAGAGGCTCTGTGACTCATGGCCCAAGCCACAAGGCTACGCTTCAGTGGAGCCCAGTGCTGTGGTCTTCCTGAGCTTCTAATTGGACTGAGTTCCAGGTCACCCTTCACTCTCCGGACATCCGAGTCCCCCCCTCCTCACTCTGAGTCCACCAATCCTGGTGCCTCCCCGGGATTCTGTACCGTGGTGAGGCTTTGGTCCTCCTCACTCTGTGTCCACCAATCCTGGTGCCTACCCGGGATTCTGTACCGTGGTTCTGTACCGTGGTGAGGCTTTGTCTGTTCCAGCTGGGAAGCTCCCTCCCTCCACACCCTGCAGGTTTTAGGTACCTATTCCAGCTGCTTTACAGGATAGTTACCGGACCACTGACCCCAGAGGTCTTCATGATGTTTCTTTCGAATTTTCCCGGACTCCAAAGAAGTAAAAAGTAAAACAAAAAAACTAGAGCTTTAAACCAGAACAAATAAAAGGGAAAACAACAACAACCCAGCAAAGGGCACTGTGACATTTACCTGTTTCTTAATTGTGGTTCTGTTGAGGAATCGCTGTATGGGATAGGGGAATGAACTTCTCCTCCTCCTCCTCCTCCTCCTCCTCCTCCTCCTCCTCCTCCTCCTCCTCCTCCTCCTCCTCCTTCTCTTCTTCCCCTTCCCCTCTTTCCCCTTCTCCTCTTCTCAGAAGGAAATACTGTTCGTCTCCATGTAGTCACCAGTTCCGTCAAATTAATGTCTGTTGATTGAAAAAGGGTCACCTGTGGGTCAGATATTGAAACAAGCAGTGATCAGCAGGCAGCGAGCTGGTGTCCAGGAGTGACATGGGAATGCGCATGAGTCCCCAATATGAGGACGAGAGTGGCTGCTGGCACAGTCAGGACAGCTTCCCCGCAAGCTGATGGCAGCTCCTTGCAGCTCTGAACGGATGTGCTAACATGACTGCCTCTTGCAGCTCTGAACGGGTGTGCTAACATGACTGCCTCTTGCTCTCTAGTTCTTCCCGTACATCCTGCTGCTCTTCGCCATACTCCTGTACCTGCCCACGCTGTTCTGGCGCTTCGCAGCGGCTCCCCATCTCTGCTCAGACCTGAAGTTTATCATGGAGGAACTTGACAAAGTCTACAACCGTGCCATCAAGGCTGCCAAGAGCGCCCGGGACTTGGACCTAAGAGATGGACCTGGACCGCCAGGAGCGAATGAGAACGTGGGACAAAGGTGACCGCTCCAGAGAGCTGCCCATAGCCACCCTAGCATAAGTTCCCTGCCTTTTCTCCTGCCAGGCTGGCCCAGAGTGCTGATTGCCAAGAGTGGGAAGGGGTAGGTAGGAGTCTGCCATCAACTGATGGGATAACCCCCTCCCCCCACCTCCCAGTCCTCGGGTCGGTGTTCCTTTCCCTGTCCAGTCTCAGCCTTTGAAAAGCAGTTCTCACAGGGGTGACAGATCAAAGTCTCACGTGTAGCTTGCTTGCTTTGATGTCCTGTAATGGGAAAGCCAGAGGATTCCGAGGCAGCCAAGCATATGGAAAGGATGAGAGAAGCGGACCCAGAAGGTGGAGGCCCTGCCTTCTCACGTTCTTCCTCTGGCTCTGCATTGCTAGTAACAACCATAACAGCAATAGTTGTCTTTTTTCAAAAGTGCCTGCCATATTCCTGTCAGCGTTTCTATTGCTGTGATAAAACACCACGGCCAAAAGCAGCTTGAAGGGGACAGGATTTATTTTAGCCAGCAGTTCAGCATTACAGTCCATTATTGAAAGAAATCAGGACAAAGCTCGAGCAGAGCAGAACTGATGCACAGGCCATGGGGGAGTGCTGCTTCCTGGCTTGCTCTTGATGGGTGGCTCGGCTGCTTCCTTACAGCACCCGGAACTGCCAGTCCAGGGGTGGCCCTGCCCGCAGTGACCTGGGCCCTCCCACCTCATTCAGCAATCAAGAAAATGCAGCACAGGCCTGTCCACAGGCCCATCTGGTGCGGGGCCTTCTCAACTGAGGTTCCCTCCTGTAAAATGACCCTAGCTTGTGTCACGTTGACATAAAACTGGCCAGCACAATTCCAGACTCGGTTTGATTGCAGCATTATTAATTAACTGCATTTGTTTGCCCCTTTTTCTACCCCTTATTTGTAGATAATAGATAAACACGGTCATTTGTGGGAGGCCAGGGACCAAAACAATGCCATTTGGGTCCCCTGAGTTTCCCCAACCCTCCCTAGTAGAAGCATATGTGTTCTGGTGGGGCTTAAAATTTCTTTATTATGCATGCTTAGTTCGAGATTGTGGTTTATAAACCAACAATAATAAGCCAGCTGCTATACTGGATCTGATAAATTAACAGACATTGAGCCCTGGGTACTAGGCATTGCCCTAAAAATTGTTAATTTAATCAATCAGATTGTCTTTAAAATATTATTAGAAGGGGGCCTGGAAAGATGACTTAGCAGTTAAGGGCACTTGCTGCTCTTTCAGAGGGCCTGAGTGTGGTTCCCAGCATCCACATGTTGGCTTACAATTGTCTATAACTCCAATTCTAGGCATCTAACACCCTCTTCTGGCTCCCAAGGGCACTGCACACATGCATGCAAATACTCATATAAAATTTTTAAATGTTTAAAATATCAAAAGGAAAAAGAGGTTTTAAGCATGGTTTTATTCCCTAGTACCTGAGTGGACTTATAGTTAATGTGTTTGAAGTTTTCAGGGTGACAGTGTTGAACATGCCCATGCCTTTGTCGTTTGAGGAGACTGGCAGGGGTCTCAGTTAGTTTTGTTTGCTTTGTTTTTCAGTCTGTGGGAGATATCCGAAAGCCACTTCAAGTACCCAATCGTGGAGCAGTACCTGAAGACGAAGAAGAACTCGAATCATCTAATCGCGAAATACATTAGCTGCCGGCTGGTGACGTTTGTCGTCATTCTGCTGGCATGTGTCTACTTGAGTTATTACTTCAGCCTCTCCTCGCTCTCCGACGAGTTCCTGTGCAGCATCAAATCGGGCGTCCTGAGAAATGACAGCACCATTCCCGACCGCTTCCAGTGCAAGCTCATCGCTGTCGGCATCTTCCAGCTGCTCAGCTTCATTAACCTCATAGTGTATGCTCTGCTGGCCCCTGTGGTCATCTACACGCTGTTCGTCCCCTTCCGCCAGAAGACAGATGTTCTCAAAGTATATGAAATCCTGCCGACCTTTGATGTTCTACATTTCAAATCTGAAGGCTACAATGACTTGAGCCTCTACAACCTTTTTCTGGAAGAGAACATAAGTGAGCTCAAATCATACAAGTGTCTTAAGGTGCTGGAGAACATTAAAAGCAACGGGCAGGGCATCGACCCCATGCTGCTCCTGACCAACCTAGGCATGATCAAGATGGACGTCATTGATGGAAAAACTCCCGTGTCCTCAGAGATCAAGGGAGAGGACCAGAGGAGCCGGACGGGGGAGTTCAAAGGTACGTTGGCTCTCTGGACAGGCGCACCTTTGCAGCAGTCTGGGTGTCTTTACCCTGCCCATCACTTGAACCACTGCCTCGGTGCTGTCCTGGGGGAGAGTGTGGGAACCCAAGTTTCCAAACCAGGGTGGATCTGTGCTTCTCCCTGTCTCCCTCTCCGCCCCCTGGTTGTTCTGTCTGTGTCCTGTTCGCTGTCTCATGCTCCACCTCTGTTTCTAACATCCTTCTTGTTGTCTCTGGCTTGTCTTCCTGCCTGTACCTCCCATCTCTTTGTCCTTCTCTGCCTTTCCTTCTCTTTAGTATCTGTTGTTTGTTCTTTGACAAATCGTACATGTTTACAGTATATCTTGATATCATATCCAGCTTCTCCCAATATATCCCCTTCCCCCGTTCCTATCCTTTCTTTTTTCTTTTTTTTTTTTTTAATGACCCACTGAGTCCAGTTAGTGCTTCCTGCAAAGGATGTTGATGATCGTGTTGGGTGTGTCTTGGGCAGGTGACCAGAGCTGCAGTGAGTTCATGAGCGCCAAGCCACATCACGTTCAGATGCCCGCATTTTGTCCCCCACCCCCTTTGCTCTTAATTTTCTTTCCTCTTTGTGGCTGTTCCCTGAGCTCTGATTTAGGGGCTGGGGGATCAGTACTGGGGTCTCATTTAGGACTGAGCACTCTCTGCAGTCACATCACTTACTCAGCACTCTCGCCTGTTAGGAGTCTCTGCATTGACTGCTGCCCACTGCAGAAGGAGGTTCTCTGGTCGAGGCTGAGGGCCACACTGACCTATGGGTAGAGCCGTAAGTGTTTAGAAGGGAGTTTGACAACATGTCCATTTAGCTTCTCTAGAACCCAGGGCCTCCTGAGCTATGGACTTTGGATCCTGTTTCCTGTACAGGTGTGAATGCCCTCCTCTGGGGCAGGCCTCCTATAACCCAGAGTGGTGGGTCCCAGAGCCACCATTTGACTTTAAAAGAGGGGTGTATTGGCTCCTTGCCTCGACCTAACTTCACACTAAGCAGCAGACATGGTAGAACAGTGTGTGTGAGAAATCCTCCTCGCAGCCGGGTAACACAAGTGCTTCCTGCTATTCCTCCTTTCCTAATAGTGGTTTTAATTTTGACAGATTTGGACCTGAGCAGTGATACTACAGCAAATAATGGAGAGAAGAACTCTCGACAGAGACTTCTGAATTCATCTTGCTAATGGTTTCGTTCTGGAATTTCAAGTCCGTGACTTCTGTGGCTGTTGGGTCTGTGGCTAGTTTGCAGTAAATGTTTTTGGTAGTGATATAGTGTGTGTCTTACCAGTCCCTAGTAGACATAATGGCCAGTAGTGTCATAGAAGAATGGGTTAGGAATGTCCCACAGACAAAATATGGAAGTGAGTAAGTGGGCTTTGTTCAAAGCCCTCACTGAAGGGCTATTAAGAGCACAGAGCCTTCTAGAGAAACACCATTTTGGACCGATGGTGTTGGGAGACCTGGAGCTTCCAGAGAGCAAGCACTTTGAGGGATGTCTTATTTTATGAGATAATAATAAACATGCCAGGATATAATTTAATAATGCCCTCTGTGTGCCCTTACTAAGGCTGTTGAACAAGAAAAGCATTCACTGGCCTACCAGCAAGGTTGGCCTGTGCATGGAAGCATCCTAAATTGGGTGTGACCTGGTGTCTCGGCTCTTGTACTTGCGAACTCTCCTGTCACTTGCCAGCCTCAGCTGATTGTTGTCCTCCAACCACTGCTCACTGCCCCGTGCCCTCTGCAAGGACAGCAGGCCGAGGCAGTACCGACTGAACGTAGCCAAGGAGGCAGAGTTGTACTGTGTCAGCTCACGCCGTGGTGACTCTTGGAAGGAAGGCTTCAGAAATAGCCTAGTGGGAAATCTGAATTTAGAGGTCATTGATAGATGTCATCAAGACATCTGAGACAGGAGAACAGCATTGTACTGAAGCACGTTGACAGAACACAGAGGGGGGGCACTTTGCCCAATGGGAGCCGAACACGGAGCTGACACAAGAGTGACCTTTGCCATGCGTTTGGAGACAGATTGTTTATATTTAAGCACAACTTTCTAAAGTTTATAAACATTCTAGCATTGATAAGAACTACAGAATAGATTGTACACATGAATAGTTAGGAAGGATATAAGCACTGCTTTGTAAACAGTTTGATTTTTTGTGACATGTTCTCACTTTGTAGCTCATGATCTGCCCTTGGAATTACATCAAGCCTCCTTAGTGTAGGGATCACAGGTGTGAGTCATGAGGCCTGGCTTTATAAACATGCGTGCTGACTTAGAAATCGTTAAAGCCTGTTCACATTCTGACCATGTGAAGATGTTGTCCATTCACACTTTATATAAAAGCTCTTTAGTCTGCAGACCTGCCCATTTTTTTTCTTTTTTTTTTTTTTTTAAGATTTATTTATTTATTATGTATACGGAAGAGGGTGCCAGATCTCATTACAGATGGCTGTGAGCCACCATGTGGGTGCTGGGAATTGAACTCAGGACCTCTGGAAGAGCAGTCAGTGCTCTTAACCTCTGAGCCATCTCTTCAGCCCGTGACCTGCCCATTTTTAACACGTTGTTTACATGAAAGTCCTCAGGAACCACCCAGTTTACTTTTGGCCAATCTGAGGGACAGTTGTTTACCTACTCTAACTCTTTATGGTGAAGCGCGAAGTCACGTAGCTGGCTGGCTGCCTTTGGGAATGTGCAGAGAAGCAGATTTTGCTTGTACTTCCGTGGCAGTTTCTGAGTTGGAAAGCTCATATAATATGAAGAGTGTACTGGGTGCTGTGAATGGCACTGTTCCAGGATACGTCTTTCTGTTGAGTTAGAGTATGACTGTGACATGGTAACTAAGGAAATGATTTCATACATTTTTATATTGTTGTGTTGGAGACATTTCATTACAGTTCTCTACAGTATGTCTGTGTGGGTTTTGTTCTTTTTTTTTTTTTGAAATGACCTTTAAAATATTTTTCTAGGATATGGATTTTTTTTTTCCAAAAAGCATCATCTTTCTTGTAGCATAACTTGTACTTTGAGGCAGTAAAAATTATATTTTATTTTAGAAGGTCAGGAACTCTCTGAGCTTAGCCATATGCAGTCCTCTGGTTAGAATGTGTGCTTGGGGTCCTCAGCCTGTTTCAGTTCACCCTCCCATGCTCACTCTGAGCTGCGGTAGGACCCACGGCATCCTAGGCTTCACACTTGTTACTGGCTGGGACAGATGAATAGGCAGGTCCTGTATTGAGGGCATTAGAGCCTAGCAACACGCAGCAAAGACATGGGCAGGTACTAAGAGACGATAGAAGTCCCACAGTAAAGACCCTTCCAGAAAGTAGAAAATCCTCTGTGTTGTCGGGAGGAGCCGTATTGTCTGGTCCCCCTGCCCATTCCCTGCCCTAAGTTGCATAGCTGGTGATTTATGGTGTCTGGTGTTTTCCTGGAGGTAGATGACCAACTTCAGCTGTAAATCCTCTCTGGGCTGAAGTTCAGATAGAGCAGCACCTGTGATTTTGAGCAGTTGAGCTGCAGCTGGCCTCTCTACTTCTCTTCCAGGATGTAGGGAGAAGCCCGTGGGGTACGCGTATAGCTCCAAGGGGCTGCTAGACTGATGCCCAGGAGTGCACTTTGCCCTGGAGTTAACCCTCCCTCTGCCGGCTTCCTGGCTTTGAGCGCTTCTCTAGAGATGAGGAGGATGCTTTTGTAAGCACCTGTCCTTTTATTACAGACATACCAGGTCTTCAGGGACCACTGTGAGGCCACTGACCTTGTTTCCAGTCTTAGTGAACCACTGAGGTTCCAAACCAGATCCACACAGTTGTGTGGTAGCAGAAGCAGCACAGATCATTCTGGAAGCAGTGTTCTGGCACATTTGCCATTTTACCAAGGGGCACATAGAGCTCTCGAGAGGCCCCCCAGCTCTGGGTGGGGGCTATTTTTAAAGTTACAGCAGAAACATAGCTTGTACTTGCTGACTAGCAAGCCGCTCACTGAGTAGGGTGTGCCTTGCCCTTGAGAAAGCTGCTGCCTTCAGCCTGAGACTTGGCTGTATGGTCACTTAATTGAGTCGTATTTTCGAAATTCTGAGAGAACGCCTTGTTATTCACCTTCATTTTCTAGACTCAGACACAAAGTCAGAGTGAGGTGGGCAGCCTCCGGCCTGGAGTGACCGGGCAACCAGCATTGATACTGTTTTCTCTGGAGTCATGAGGCTAGCACCTTCCAGTTTTCTTCCCCGTTGAGAGTCTCTGGAGTGCAGGGAGGATGGGCACGACATACAACTTATAGAACATCACCCTGCTTCACAATGGCACTGTTAGGGGCTGAAACCCCTGCTTGTTTGGTGGGTCTGTTTTGCATGTTTGCTTGTTTTTTTGGTTTAGTTTGGTTTCGTTTTTCGAGACAAGGTTTCTCTGCATAGTTTTGGTGCTTGTCCTGGATCTCGCTCTGTAGACCAGGCTGGCCTTGAACTCACAGAGATCCACTGGGCTCTGCCTCTGGAGTGCTGGGATTAAAGGCTGCATGTATGTTTTAACGTGTATATTCCCACCCAAAACCTAGCTCCTGTGGCTTTGTTCCTGTGAAGGACAGGTGGCTACACCTTTCAGGACACACGTGCTGCCCGGTTGAATCTGCACATGTCAGAGCAGCACAGATAGATCTACAAAGGTCTAAAGTTTTGATTTGTAACCGTATCACCAACTCCAAAGTCAGTGGCCGAGACCCACCAGGCACTGGAGTGAGCGAGCAAGGGGTCGGTAGGAAGCCTAGTTTGTTGGCCTCTAGGGTCTGCTTTAACGGGCACGCGGTCCTCCACAGAAGAGGGTAGTGGGAAGGCTCCTCCCACGGACTAGTCGAAGGAGTAGTGTGGCAGACAGACAGACAGCCTTTCCCCAGAAGCACAGGGATGCTTGGCTTTTGATGTGGAATGAGTCATGACCACTTTCCAAGTTCAGCATGAGTTCAAGGTTGTCCTGCAGTGAGTAGGGAAGTGGGAGTTTTGAAGATCCTGGTCTCAGCAGTCCAGAATAAACCCCTTAAAGAAGCCGTGGGTTAAAATATGCATTGGCAGTTAATGGTTTGTCTTCGGGCACTGAGATGAACAGCTCCTTTGGGGCGATCATTGGCATTTTGGCCTTATTTCTTCTCACAAGAACGAAACCTCTTTTAAAAGATTGACAAGGAGGCTATTGTGTGAAAAGTGGAATATAATAGATGCTAATTTGTAGTTCGCTTTCCTCCTGCGTTAAATTACACGATTGTGTTTCTGGGTCTCTAGCTGTGGGGCACGATTTTCACTGAAGCTTGTAGATCTGAATCAGTGATTGTTCTTGGGTTTCTGCAAGGTACCAAGTTTCTTGTGTCTTGAGGTACTTTTTCCCTTGCTCAGCCACAGGAGAAAACTGTAGGATTCTGCAGTGTGACAAGCATTCCCTAGAAAAACAGATACAATAAGCTCCACTTTTTAACAAGTTGGCCTTTTCAAAATGCCATAATTGCAATTTGATCCTTTCAGTACAGTGGAGTTCTATGTATAAGTTAAATTTCCTTTTGTGTGTGTGTGTATGTGTGTGTGTGTATGTGTGTGTGTGTGTGTGTGTTGGGGGGGCATTGTGTCAGGGTTTCTCTGTGTAAGGCTACAGAATTTTTTGTTGTTGTTATTGTTTTGTGGGGTTTTTTTTTTTTTTTGTTGTTGTTGTTGTTGTTGTTGTTGTTGTTTGAGGGAAGGTTTCTCTGTGTAGCCTTGGCTGTCCTGGAACTTACTCTATAGACCAGGCTGGCCTCCAACTTAGAGATCCACTTAGTTCTGCCTCCCAAGTGCTGGTAATAAACACATGTGCCGTTGTGCCCGGCTAAGTTAAGTTTCTAATGACTAAATTTCTCTGAAACCTTCCAAGAAAAACATGTACGTTCCTCTTGCTGTGTCATGTGGTTAAGCTGCTGAGCCAGTGAAGAACGACTTGAAACATAAGTTCATCTTCGGTTTTGTTCCACAAAGTTCAAAAGATGGTGGTGTCAGAAACCAGTCTTGTAAAGAACACACCAGAAGCTTGGCCCTCTGCTGAAGTCCTCGGTGCTTCCGTGGGAGGGGCTTGGCCCCACTCTGTTCCTGGTCATCCCGAGAGGGGGAGGGCTCTCAGTCAAGGCTGTTGTGTCTGCAACAACAGCAAATGGTGCTGTGGTTCTGTGCTGTGCTGTGCTGTGTCCCCAAATAAAACGTTTCTAAGTAACAAAGAGAGTCGTGGCCTTTCCTACCTTCTTTGGGAGTGCCTTCACTGAAGATGGAGCAGAGGATGGTCTCGCAATGCCCTGAGGCTCATCCCTGTCTGGTGATGTGTGACATTCGGGAGTCTCCACGATACTTGCTCAAATCCAGCTGGCAGTATCTGAAGGAAGTCCTTGATACAAGGCCCACAGGCTGGGGTTTATAAAGTGTGACATTTGTGTCGTCTCATTGAAAGCTGTTGGGACTGCGTGCAGATGGACATGAGCTGGCCTGCTCAAGAGGAGACCACGTCTACAATAGAAATTAATACTCTTTACAGGTTTAATAAAGCACAGGCCTGCAAAATCTTAGCAGAGTCCACAGCATTCTTAAGCACTCTATGAATGCTTCCGGGTCGCCAGCTGTTCCCCAGGAATCCATACGTTGCATTCATTTTCTGTTGACCCATAACAAATAAGTGCATACTTAACAGCGCTGAGCATCCGTTGCTCACCTTGCCGCTTTCTGTACCAGGAGTTTGGACAGAGCCTAGGCAGGCCCTCATGAGGCTCAGGGTCCACAGGGTACAATCACTATGAGGATGACGGGTGGTGTTCCCTGGAGGCTGAGCTGGAGGAACTGCTGACTTTACCCTAGCCAGCTCTACCACCCGCTCATCTCTTCAGGCTTTTGGCCCAGGTCCCTCCCCCAATCTGAAGGAGCAACATGCCCCATTCCTTAATGGCCTTTCAGCCTTGGACACTTGGCTGCTGTCTCCTGTCCGTTAGACAGTCAGCTCTAATATCCTCTGCAGGAAGTTCCCCCATGTTTCCCCTGACCCTCCTGTGCTGACATCCGACCCCCTCACCAGCCTGAGAAGCCCACGGGCAGGTTGGTCCCTACGCTCCCAGCACCTAGTCCAATGCCCAGGTTCAGGGTTGCTAACCCGAACACTGAACTCTGGGATTGCTGGGAGCAGAGGGGGGCACGGATGAGAAGTGAACTCTCCCCTGGGCCAGTTACTCATCTCTGCTGCTCATCTGTTTTACCCCGTTTAAGGCAGCCAGGTCCACATCCCTGATTGGCCCACGTTAGTGATTGAGACCCAGACCAGAAGCTTTCTGAAACACTCCCGTTCCCCTGCCTTGGCAGTGGTGTCTCCTGGTCACACTTGTGCTCACTGCCCTGCGCAGCCAGGCTCATTTTCCTTTCTAAGGGTTCCAGCATCCCACATTACTACTTGAGAGTGTAGCTGAATGTTCTAGTGTCTTCTGTTTCTGTGGCAAAAAGTACTCAACAGGGAAGAAGGGTTTATTTGGGCTTATGGGTCCAGAGGGACCGAGTCCATTGTCATGGCAACAGTCAGGGGAGGTGGTATGGCAGGAGAAGGAACCTGACTGATCACATTTCATCTGCAGATGGGAAGCAGAATCGGGAGTGGGGTGAGGCTATAAAATCTCAGAGCAACCCTGTTCTACTTCCTCCAGCAAAGATCCTCTTCCCAAAAGTTACATAACCTCCCTGAACACCGCCACTGACTGGGACCAAGTGTTCAGAAACGTGAGCTTATGGGGGACATTTCTCTTCACACCACAGCAGGCGCATCCCCAGTCGGAGTGCTGATGCTGTTACAGTACGAAAGGGGCGCCTGTGCTCAGTCTGTGTCCATCCGTCCAGGCTTATCTGTGATAGCCCCTCCTGCCACCCGCGATCTGGGAGGAAAGGCAGGAGATGCTGGGCTCCCAGCTGCTGAACTGGGCCCACAGCTCTGGGCTCTTCCCGATGAAACTGGGCTATGGAAGCTCAACTGTAGAACTGAGAAATAAATATTCAACTTACACGCTCAAATAACAGTCATGTTCTGGCAGCCCCTTCATGAATGCAAAGCAGAGGAAGAGCATGTGGTGTTCCTTTGTGTTCTAACAGAGATGGGGCAGGTAGGCCCTCGGGGAAGAGGGGGCAGGCCTGACAGTGGATGCAATCAATGCATCCCTTCCCAGAGCCGGTTTCCAAAGTTTCTGTGTGTCTTTTCTCAGACACACACAAAAAAATGAAAATGAGGAACTGAAGTGCTGTGTGAATCACTTCCAACCCCCAGAAATGAAATCTGCAGTACCTGTAAGTGAAGATGGCCGTATAGAACCCAAGCTTTCATGGAAACTTCAGGAACATAAAAGGAAATGTTCTAACAGTAATTTCAGAGGTAAGGACGCTCGGAGATTTTAGCATTCCTCTCATTTGTTCTGAATATGAGAAGTGCCTGTTACAAAGGAAACATCGCCAAGTACAGAGACCCTCGAGGCTCTTCATCATCTGAGCACTTTACAAATACCATCTCCTTGAAAGGAGAAGTTTCATTTTAGAAAAAAAGAAATCGCCCAAAACTCTGGCTGCTGCAAGAGGAAGCAGGAAGAAAATTTAAAAAAAAAAAAAGAGTAAGCTACAAGTATAATCCGTTTGGGAGAACGTGTCCAGTGTGATGCAATGGGAGACACACGTAGTTTTCAAATTTCTTAGCCACATAAAGAAATGAAATGAACAAAATGAATGTTAGCCATCATCCTAACTAACTGAATAACCCAGAATATTAGTTCAACATAACATTTAAATATAAGAAGTGCTGGGGTGTTTTACATCTTTTGTACCAAACTTGTTTAAGTTCAACATACATTTTTGGCTTGCAATGCATCTTGTTTGAGGCAGGCCTCATTTAAATAAAGGGCTCAGCAGCATGTGTGCCTGGTGGCTGTTACGTTCACAGAGCATGTCCAAATAGATTGCACTGTGTTCCCACCTAGGGATACCACTACGTTTTTCTCCTTTCTGAAAGATCTGTCCCTGTCCGTGGATTTAGTTAATGGAGGCACGTTACCTTGAAACCTGACAATTCTCTGGGGACTTACACATGCTTGAGGTGAGATGCATATTAAATACCTCTTGCCTTTGACGCATGCTAACCTACAGCAGGGGCTTCTAAGAGCTGCAACCCCTTCACCATTTG